ATGAGGAATAATACCGCTTTCATAGGATATGGACTTACCACGGCAATTGATTAGAACAGCAATAACAACAGTAAATATTACACTTGACGTAAACATATCGGGTATTGCTGCGAGACTAGTATTGATTATCTTCTATATTTATACTAATTGAAAAGAATAACAACCTTGACATTAGCTCTCGCTTGAAACTGAAACAGAGCACAATAATATTTACTGTTAGATTAACTAAAGCTAAATTTCTTGTTCTTGTTCTTACAGTAGCAGTACAAATCATTCGCAGGACCAAAACAACAAAAATTCTGGTCATTTTTTCTGCTAAACAGAAAGCATTACACAATTCGAGTTTTCGCCATTGAACAGCACCAAATCTCACCTTCATTTGTCATCAGTTTTAGGTTTTGGAATACACTCCTTTATATGGGGATATATGTAAATAAAAAGTTTGTTAAATTTAGTCATTTCTATAAACGCATATAAAAATTATACATACGATCCCTTTTCCCCTCTTATCATGAATGATAATATTCTCGCAGCATATGAACGCTAAAAAAAGAGAAACTGCATTAGTTGTGATACAAATAACATTTTCAGTTCTTTTTTGCTGTCGGAAAAGCATGTAAGAAGCCCGACCGCGACACCGAATTAAATCATATCTGCTATTCATGTTTGTTTTTAGTTTTGTTCTATATCATAGACTTTAAGAGGATGACATTCTGAATTAATTGTAGTATTGCGCAGTTTAGTCCACCTAACATTCAATGAGCTAGTGCCATCTTCTCTTTTCATTCTCAACAAAATCGTTTGAAAACGGCTGGAAATGGCCAATTCATGACTTAGGAAAATAATACATGATACAATAATTTCTGATATGTATATACAAGGACAAATGCAGACTAATAACTAGTGGTTAGAATAAATTTGGTGATTTCTATAAATCCACAGAAATTATTCGTACGATCCCTTTTTTCCTCTTATGCTGAATGATGATATTCTCGCAGCATATGAAGGCTAAAAAAAGAAATTTAAATTTAAAATACCAGCCGAAAAAGCACGGAAGAGGCACCTTCAACTTGGTCAAAAAAGTCGATTCCAAATACACCGGTGGAAAGAGTGTGAGAAACTGCATTAGACAGTGTTAGGTCCGGTATACGTTGTTGTGTATATGTAGTTTATTTAGTAACTGAATAAGATCATCTTTACATAAAATTAGGAGCTATTTATATCTGAGGTTAAACGGAAACGGTGGGTTATCACCCAGAGCTAAAAGAACAGATTGGAATATCTCTTGAAGAAAAGAAACAGTACAGAACGAAATCAAGAGATATTACTGGGAAATTCCCTGACAGAAAGAAAGAGAACAATGCAGACACATATATGACAAGAAGAGAAAATATCCATAGAAGAAGAATAGAGAACGAATATACATATGACTATTATATAAATTGTCTCTTATGGCATGTACGTGTCATAACAGACAGTTGTAATACAAATAACATTTTCAGTTCTTTTTTGCTGTCGGAAAAGCATGTAAGAAGCCCCATCGCGACACCGAATTAAACCATATTTGCTATTCATCTTTGTTTTCAGTTTTGTTCTATATGATAGGCTTTAAGAGGATGAAATTCTGAATTAATTGTAGTATTGCGCAGTTTAGTGCACCTAACATTCAGTGAGCTAGAGCCATCTTCCCTTTTCATTCTCAACAAAATCGTTTGAAAACGGCTGGAAATGGCCAATTCATGACTTAGGAAAATAATACATGATACAATAATTTCTGATATGTATATACAATGACAAATGCAGACTAATAACTAGTGGTATCAACTTACAAAATATTCAAAGAATCAGTATTAAAGAAGACTAGAATAAGTATCCGAATCAACAATGAAATATGATACCACGTCAAAATAAAACAACAACAGTCTCTATTCTAATTGAAGGAGGATTGTTTTGATATTTGCGTCCCAATCATTAAAGCTGCACTTAGAAAACTCCGCTTTGTTGAGTATACAGATTGATATAGGGTAATGCTTCGAAAAGTGTTTTGATCGTCTAGATGATGCTTGCTTCGATATTTGTCTCCCTGACTTTGTTTCACATTACAGGTGTATCGTTCTGAAATGTGCAACAAACGATAATGCGCAGAAGTCGGAAACGCTTTACTTTTAAGTTAAAAACATAGTTGGTTTCTGGTCGTCATTCGTTTTCTAGTGTCTGATATAGACGACGACAAAGAGAAGTATTTTGGAAACCTTCTTCGTTTGTATTTGTCTGTTACACATTTGAAACTACCAATGTTCTCGTAAATTCTCGTAATAGCAGATGTTTAACCAAAATTGCCTTATGTAAAGAAAAAGATAAGAAAAAGAAAGCAAAAGGAAAACGTTCACATATACTGCTTTGAATCAACCTTTTCCATTAGTCTTCAACTACTATAAGCGACTGTTCGTTTATTTGTCCATTTATCGATAATAGTGACACTAAAGTTCAGAGAGACTTTCATCTGGGTTCTCCAGAGACCGGGTCTCTATTGTGTTTGTCAGTGACTTTGTTCTGTTTTGTGCAAAATTAATTTTCTCACAGATAGCAGTATTTTATCGCTAATTTTTGATTACCTACTTTTCCACACTAGTGAATTTTAGTATCAAATTATTTTATGCCATCAGACAGAACATGTTGTGAAGTATATCTAGCACTATTTCAATGGATGACAAGTCGAATTTCGTTTTTTCACCTAATTCCCGTCTGGATACACACTGTTCTGCGATTTTCACTAATCGAGATACTTTATTGTCTCGCTTATTAATGAGAATCGTTCTCAAACTCTTTCCTAGAGCTGTATTAGTAAACTACAAACCCATCCAAAACTACATCCGATTTCTTTGCAGACATCTAGATAGGCAGAAGTCAACCAGTAGATTAAAACAGCATGGATGAGAGTTTTTGAAATGTTTATGACAGAGAAGGGTGTATAAATTTCATAAAAGTCACTCTAAACTAGCCTTAATTACCTTTGGAACCAGTCAGACTAGCGCACTTTTATATAGGAGACACGTATAAATGTATCCAACAGTCCCCTGATTAGTATGGCGATGATTTCTCGAATTACGTGTTTTATAGTGTCTTTAGAGTCTAAAGTTTAGACATATTACAATCTAGTTTTTCTAAATCTTGGCAGTTACCTATGCTAATAAATAACGTTTTAACATAAAATTAATCTTAACATAAAATTTCACGTGTGGTTGCGAAAATGTTTTGCTTTTCAGATGTTTTAGTAATTATTTTAATGGCCATTTTAGTATCAGCTTACTACAATATCTGTATAATGGAAATCGAAACACTTGAATTAGGAGCAGATCTAGCATTTCGAATGATAATGTCCGCTTTTAAACTATGACTGCTGATTCTGGTATAATCGATGCAGTACACAATAAAAACGGCATGGAGCAAGATGGATAGTACGAGTGATAGTACAACGCTTATTGTTTAGCCCCCACCCACTCCGTCAGAAACGTATTTCGGTAACTAAAACTCCAATCTGGTCCAAAATTTCATGGAATGTTCATCTTATGATTGTGCTGTTTCTGAGAAATTTTAGCGAAGTCATCTATCACCTTTTCAGAGATGTTGCTCAATTAGCGGTCAAAATAGGGCTGTTCATAGCTGGTTAGAGGCTAATAGAGCCTGATTTTTGATATTCTACTTTTCAGAATAATAATCAGCTTCAAATAATAATAAGCCCAAATCATTTTGGGTTTATTTTTACTAAGATACTATACAGTATCTATCGGCAAAAGATCATTGAAATCGGCGTTGGACACTTGAAGAAGTTCCCTCGTAAGTCAGGAGGATTAGAGTAATTCTTCCCGATGAAAAGCTTAAATGTGTTTCGATCAAGAGTGAGACAAAAGCTGATTAACGTGAAGAGAAGAAACGTGCAAATAAAGCTGAAACCATATAGCGAAGAAACAACATGACTGTATGTTGGCCACTCCTCGCGAAGATTGAAAAGCCGACAGAGTGAAATGGGTTAGAGAGAGAGAGAGGAAAACTCGTGTAGCTTAAATTTAGACAGCAACTGGGTCACATAACTCTGCTACAACAGTATAATCTCGAGAACGATGGGTGATAAAGACTTTGAAAGATATTTGAGTCAATAAAAGTTTCCTAATATGTAATCTGTAGTAGTTTTAGCCTTATCATTTAGTTGTTGTCTTCCTTAGAAATAGATGACGGTAACCTACAGACAAAAAAAAGTCTTCTGTTTTAGAAAGGTGGAAAAAATGAAATTTCTCTGACTTATTTCGTGTATAGTAAACTTTTTTTTGCAAGTTTGTAGCTGAAATTCATGGGTATAGATGATTAATTTAATAACTCGAAAAATGGGTTAGTCATCTCCAAAACATGACGGTAAGACAGATTTGTTTTTTTGAATGTTTTCATAGAGCTTGCATTTGATATATCGGAGTCTAATAAGACTTTTATAAGAAGATGACAAGAATCAACTAAATGTCTTATGAAAATTATAAGTTATCTATATAAGTTTCTTATCAATCTTTTACATAAGAAGTTGCCCGAAAGTGATGACTGGTTCTGGTAAGAAATTTATAAGAATCTTATGAGATATTCATAAGAGATCATAAGAATTTTAAGAAAGCAAGAACACGCAGGGTTCGTGGAATCAGAGTTGGAATCGGTTGAGGTTTTCCTAGCCGGACCGGCCAGTTTACCGACCGGTTTAATGCGTGGTTCACCCGGTAATAAACCAGCCGGTTCAGTTTTGGAGTTCAACCGGTAGAAAACCGGTCTATTCCATAGCAGATTAAAGTCCGGATTTTGTGAAAAACCGATTTTTTGCAGAAAGGTAAGCTTGTGTATTTTCAAAATCTTCCTGTTATGGTTATTTCAGTATTAACATGAGGTATTGAGCACGAAGTTCAACCCGATACGAAACGAAGAAAAATTCGCGGACTAATTTCTGATGGTGTATGAAACTCAGTAGGAAAAACAATATAGATTAATCACGTTTTAGTGGAGACAAAAAACTTTTTTTCGGGCTGATATTTCATGAAGAAGGAAATTTTTCCGGACGAATGTTTTCGAAATGTGAAAGAAAATAATGGGAGAAAATTTTAATCTGTGTTCATCTATATCCGAAATTCGCCAGTGATAGGACAAATGTAAAATGAATTAATAGATCATTTTTTGGATCTACTGCCTTTTTTCAACCTCCCTTGAGCGATTCCAGTTGACATCTCGAACTTTTGTTATACAGTAGTCATCTGTGATTCGAAACCGACAGCAACCGGCCGGTTGAAGTGTGGTTAAACTGGTAAAAAAACCGGCGTTAACCGGCCGGGTGAAGTGTGGTTAAGCTGGTAAAAAAAACGGTTGGCCGGTCCGGTTCTAACTCTGTGTGGAATGGACCGAACCTGCGTATTAAATCCTGACAATCTAAGTTATAACCACTAAATCACGAATCACTCTATTTAATATAATTGATTTAAAATGACATTGTGAAACAGCATTTTCTTTGGAATCTCATGATCAGTAAATAAAGAAAACTGATTCCCATATTCTTTCAGAATCTAAGAAGAAGACGTTAGAAAACTAAAAACGATGAGAGACTGGAAAGCTGCTGTCATGCCTATTCTAAAATTTATATTGTCTTTTAATAAGGTTTTTTCTTCGCTCCAGCAAACATGTTTCCATTTCTCGAAAGCCTAAAACGGATAAGTTTTGTGGGTACATAAAACTCCTCAGAGTTACTTTTCTGGAGGGGCTCAAAAACAACATTTTCCTAAGGTTTCAAGGTAACCAAAACATGAAGCGCTCTTCAAAAAGACATTAGTTTCCAAAATCTGGTTGAAAAATGATTAAAAAGCTTTTCAAAAAATTCTTATGGTTTCTTACCAGAACTAGTGGATTTCTTATCACTTCCGTGCAACTTCTTATATAAGTAATTGGTAAGAAATCGATAAGATTCTTATCAGAACTAACAAAAATTTTTGGACTAGGGCAAAACGAGTCATGGGGCTTGCCTGTTTTCGTTTCTACACTTTTCCTGCTATATTTTCTCGTTACTCTTACAAAATTTCATTTCACTAGCCACCAGTGTTTTCGTGTGACTGTGCGTTGGCCGATACCAGGTGTGCGTGATTACAATGGCTAAATCATTATACATTTCGTTGAAGGAAATAAAATTCAGAGAAAATGAAAAAAGTACAAAAGTATAAAGTTACATTTTAAGAATATAAGTACCCAACAGTTATTTGAAAGAGATAATAACAATATTTAAAATAAAAAGTTTCAGGGTTGACAGATGTAAGTACTACTGCGATTACAAAGTTAGTATTTTTCTTCCACATTACTTTTTTCGTTCTCAAAAGAAATTCTTGGTACCGTGTTCCCATTACCAATACCACGCACAACATGATTTACAGTAAAAAAATGTTTAACTCTATTCGAATTGAGTGATAACATCTATGTATTTTCATTTTCTTTCAAGCTTTGGCTATGAAACTATTAATACTAGTTTTTATGGTGTATTCTTGCTCAACATCATCACTTGATGGATCATTAGCCGAAAATATTTTTTTATCAAATGATCCGTACAATGACCGTTATATACAAACAATTGTTCGTATGGATAGAAAACAATTGAAAAGTATACGTATTATGGACGAAAATGAATTTATCACTTATCTTAATAGTGGAAATGATACACTGAATGGTAAGAAAAATTGACTAACTTGAAGAAGAATATAACAGAGTTAGAAGTGTTTTTGTAAAAGTGGCGATTTTCACAAACTTTGTGACTTCATCATAAATCATCGTCCTATTCTCAAACCCAGGGACTTGCGGAAATTTACGAGTGAGAAAAATGCAAACATACGGTTTTATTCTAAGAAACTAATAGACTATAAGAAACGTTACGTGCTGAACACGAATCTGCTGTCAGTTCAACTCACAAAAAATTAAAAACCTTGCTCATCATTAAAATTTCACATGAATATTTCTTGTACCAACATATTATATCTCTAATTCTATAGTTATACATAAATGCATATGGTTGAAATATAATAGGAACAAGACTATTTAGAGTACTGAAGAGCTGTTGTTTGTATTATCTAGGACTGTGACAGTCACCAGTTAGCGTTACCACCGTTACTCGATAACGGTAACTGTTGAACAGTTGTCGTTCTTGGTAACGGTAACGTACAAGTGACGATAACGACCAGTTACTTGTAACGATAACTGTTTAGTATCTCTTTCAAGAGTCAAATCTCTGAATATCTAGGTGATCGTTATTTATATCTGATCCACCTATATCTTATCATCGTTTATCCACTACATATGAAGAAATGTTCGCCGATGGGTATCAAGTTCAAGCGAAGACTAGTTTTTTCTGTTGTGTTCCAAAAAGTGAATAAACGACACAAAATAAAATAAGCAATGTTTTTAGTAAACAATGAAGAATAAAGAGGACATAAATCTTAACTTCTGCCTTTCAAAAATAATGAGTAGTTTTTTCTCTTGTCATAAGATGTATACATACATATTTTTCATTCAATACAGTACAACTCAGAATCTTAATCGCGAATGCATCCATTACGTCTGGTATTCCAACATAAAAGATAAACGCTAGCAAATTTTTTATTTTTACCTGATAGACCTTATTCGCTGATCATTTCTGACGCAAGAGAGTATAGCCACTTTAGTTATTAAAAATGAATGAGCGTATAAAACACTAGCCAACATTTTACAGTACATGTAGACGTAGCCGTAAGAACTTATACACTTCTAATTTAGTTAAACACATGCTCGACAGTTACCGTTACGGTAACCGACCAACAGTTACAAGTTACTGTAACGCGGTTTTCGTCCGACCGTCGGTACTGCCCGTTTTTCCCGTTAATTGTGAGGGTAACCGTCGGTTTTTCTGCTGTGTTGCTGTAGTTTCAGCTGAAATAACCGCGGTTAATCGTCGGTTCTTAAAATAACCGTGGTTAACCGCCAGTTTTCGTCCGGTTTCGACAACATGGGGACCATCTTTAACCTTCACACGACCAAAACATAGTTTAAAGCCATAAGAATTATCCATTAATAGCACCGAAATTACCGCTAAAATTGATCCAGAAGAAAAACGAAACACGACGTGGTGCATTACGTATATCTATTCAACAGTTGATGGATGTTCTATATTGCAGAACCAAGGGATAACTGTAATAACTTGTATAGTAAGCGTCATACCCAACATAACACTACAAAATTATATAGGATCAGCTAATTCTAATAAAAATGAGCTTTATATTTTAATGAATATTTATTTTATTAAGCATTATTTCTTTGAAGAAGCGAGTTGACAGAGATGTGTCACGAGAGAGGCTTCATGATTGAAATCACTTTTTTATGTTTAGTAATTAGATTAAAAAGCTGGTCTCAATTCGGAATGCACATATTCTCTCATCTCTTATACAAATAAAGATGGTCTCAGTTTGGAATAGAGAGTTTGTTCTTTTCACACAGTTTGTACCACAGTTTATAAATGAACTTATCATTTATCTCAACAGTGGAAATGATACACTGAATAGTAAGAAAAAATGATTATCCTGAAGAATAATCTGGACACTGTTGACATCTATACATGGATCAAATATATTTATAGGCTTGACGGTTCGCTCAGATTCGAGAATATCATCAGTATTTGATAACACAAAATTAGATGATCAGTTGATTGGACAACCTGAAATTGATGAACAATGGGAAGATTTAGTTGTTGCTGGACCGGTTGCTGTTAATTATGTTGGTCATCTAATGGTTTTAGCTAGTAAACGTGACTTTCCATTCGAACCAAACAATTCAAATTATAGTTATCAGTATATTCGATATCCACAATCATTTCGTGCTACGCTAGTGCAATTATCAAGCGAAATGTATAATACTTTTTTAAATGCACATAACAGTATGGATCGTATACAGTTAAATATGGAACAGATACCACGACATGTAAATACAACAGTGAAACTATTACTCATGGCTCCACTACCATTAATTCAAACATTGTTACCATTATCAATTGAAAATATTCAACGTATTACTATTGATTGTACAAAATTAGCTAACTCAACATTAGATAAATTTTTATATTTAAATAAGTTGTTACAAGAAATTTTGGCTATAAGTATTGTTACGCTTGGTGCAAATGAAAATACATTAGTTGAAGTACAAACAGTGTATAATAATTCAATTAAAGAACATGTAGAAATTAATTCAAAAGTGGAAGAAATTAAAAGCCGATATGAAGATGCTAAATTACAACTAAAAGCAGCGCAAGAAGAATATTTACGAGCCTATCATGCTATACCAACAAGAATTCTGGACGCGACAACCAGATTTCTAGGTGGAATTGTAAATGATTTGTTTAGTGTAATAACACAACCTCTAGTGCAAGCTTTAGGATGTATATTCGGTGTTTGTGAAAACGACAATCGAGCTACGCTTGATAATACAGCATTTGAAAACGCTAAACAAAAAGCTGAATTAGCTAAAGCTGCTTTAGAAAGTGCAGAAAAGCTTTATGATGACCATCATCAGCAATTACAACGAGAACAAAATAAATTAGTTCAAATTATTGATCGTATGTCAAAATTAAATTTTGATAAATTAAATACACAAGAATTAATTAGTATATTGGCTGATGCTACAAAACAAATTATACAAATTGCTGAACAATGGGATAAATTATTAAGATTTTTTACAAAACTATCAGCACAAGCCGATCAAACACAAAACGTGATTCTGAATGAATTTGTTAAACAAATACAATCTGTACAAGAACAAAATTTATTAGTAGATGATGCTATGCGAGAATTTTTTGTATCAACACTAATGATACCAGCAAGCTTAATTGACCGTGAATCACATCTATTATATATCATGGCCAAAACTTATTATGATATATCAAATTCATATATGATGAATCAATTAGCTGGTTTATCAAAATTTTTAATTATACAAACAGATAATGAACGTAAATATTTATTAGAAGAAATAGCTAGTAAAACAACAGCAACATCAGCTAAAATATCACGTTTAGCTATGGAACGTCATGGACAATATCAACGTCGAAACAAAGCAAGACAAGCTGAATATCAACGATTCATTGACCAACAAACAATAACACTTGAGTTCAGATCAGTTATAGGAGATTGAAAAGATCAATTTTTGCACTAAAACCTCTTTTATTAAAATAAAATAAGGAAATATGATGTAACATTTCGAAATATAGAGTAACTGGATCAATGATTTGTTACACAGGAATGAATATAAGAACCATATTGAAAAAACAGCTTTTCTCAGTTAGAATCTTCGACATTTTTTTAAGTAATTATTTAAAAATCTGTAAGATGTTAAATTTACGTTCTAAAATCTTGGTCAAGATCTGATGAGCCTACTTTCATTCATCCTTTTGTTTTACTCTCATGCACCGTAGATCGAGACCTATTTATAACACACAAAAATTTATTTTTCGCACACAAACTGTAATTGATTAGGATAAAAGTCTGACTTAGAGGTTTCCACCATGCTGAGGTTTCGGCAGCACCAATTTTTCTTGAATGTTACTTAGAAGGATTTACTATTTCACGTTTTGATCGTACAGAAAAACCAAACTTTCTTGTTGATACGAGAAACGTGCGAATCTCACGGAGGGTATGAGTACCACTGAATTCCTGTTCATGGAAAAGATCATCCTGTTTACACCAAGTTGTCGTATTATGATTGAATAACCATTTATATATTTATATTATTTATTCCAACTCAAAGGATCCGTCTCGCTGGACAAAGCGAATCATGTATAATATGTTAATGTTATCTTCTTTTTTAGATGCATCACGTTTTATCTCTCCTCCCATTATATTGTCGAAAATGTGCCCCTACACTTTCGTGGTAAAACGCCATTTTCTCGTATGCTAAATACCCTTTGAAGCTGAAGTTTTTAGCAAATGTGTATCTCTATAGTTTCGTACAATGTTAAAAAGTGCTCGGTGATTTGACTGTTCCTTACCGAGAATCTGTAAAAACAAAATCGAAAATAAGACATCGGTTGTGTGAAAAAATGGAAGTTTGACGGAAAACGCTGCAAAATACCAGTGCATTTTTTGATTTTTTGCTACCTGTTTCAAAAAAAGCAAGCTTTCTTATCTTCTCTCAAATATAAAAAAGATTCTATTAGAAAACAAAGCGTATATTATGCGCTCTGCTTTTCTGAGAAAAGCGCAAAACAGAGCGTATTTTTATTATTTTTTATTATTCCGAAGCATATGTACGCTTTGCTAGAAATACTGTCTCCAGTATTAAGTAGCAATTTGACACTTTTACACTTTAAGGAGACCCCGCCACTATTTCGATGAACTAGAGAACTGAGAATGAGCGGGATGTCCTTAAACAGTGTAAAAGTACCCAGGTCAATCGGGACGGTTTGTTAACGAATGGTTAACGGCCCGTTAATGATCAACTAGGAAACGGCTCGTTAACGGTGGAAAAACGTTCCGTTAACGTCACCATAAACCGCCCGTTTTGACAACGTTAATTGACAGACGTTAATAAACAGACCGTTAACGATCGTTTTGCTTAATGGCAAACTTTGTTACACTTGACGGGCCGTTTGATTAACTGGCACCTTACTTTTCTTCACCAAAAAAGTATCAAATTTCTGAAAATTTCTTAAGTGCGACATGAAAACGTCTTCATAACCTTTACTATTTAGTGCCAATAAATCCAGTTTTTGACG